TGTTCCCATGGTCTTTCCCACACCTCATCCAATTCCAGAGTTAGTCCTACTAGGAACTTGATTGTCCTCCTCTTCTTCTCAATTATGAATTTAAATGTCATGACATCTTGTGGACATTTTTACACGTCTCAAACATATCCAATTGTAGCCAATATTTTGATAGTGTTGAAATATTGGATGACGTTTAACTCTCCTTGATGGACGTTATGAAGCTTGATTTTGATCTCAAACAACCTTGCAGTGTTCTCGGTACTGGAATATGTTTCTCTTGGAGCCTCTCAAATTTTTTTGGCAAATTTTTCTAGTAAAAAAATTCTCTCTTAATTTAGTAGTCATTGAATTGACTAGCCCAAACATAACCATATGGTCTCGATTATTCTAATGTGCGGTAGTTGGGGTCAATGATATTAGGAACTGTGCCATCTTTTGTGAGATGTTCCTTTTTCGACCATAAATGTACTTAAATACGGATTGAAATTATGAAAGGTAGTTATAGCTATTGAGTTTATGATTTATGATAAAATTAGTGAGTTTAGGAGTTGTTTGGACAAAATCCTTTATCTCCGATTCAGCGTTAACCCTTGGAATACCGCTTGAAGTCTTCATCCATTGGTCATCAACCTCATGAATGTGTAAGGTTAATTTGTAGTTGACTACAATGGAGAGAGTTTTGGCTGTCGCTGCTGAGCACCTTTCCTTGCTGCTTTTTATGTGGCTAGCTTCAGCTGCTGTTGTTCCACGGGTCTCATTTGGGCTTTATGTGGGGAGGAAACTTATGGAAGTGTTTCGGAAATAAATGGAATGATTGAGGGATGATTATTTCCACTAGAAAGAGAATGTCATTCCCGTCGGAGTGAGGAACTGATTTTCGTTGGAGAAAGAATGATTTCCTCTACAGAGGGAAAGTTCTGTCCGCTGGAGCCAAAATTGCTATTGCCTGCGCCTGGAAGAAGTTTCGCCAGAAAGGGCTTGCATCAAGAAGTTTTGGCTATGAGGAGTTTAGGCACAATAGAGCGGGTCCTGACCCTTGCAGGGAGCGTTGGCTCTGGCACAAAGGGAGTTGGGTGCTGCAGTGGTTTTTGACCCTAGCAGGAAGTAGTTATGGTGCTGGAAAGTTTTGGTGGCTCTAGAAAGAGGTTTGGCGGCTAGCGCAGGAGTCTTTGGCTCTGATACCATGTAGGTTACTTAGTTCATTATTCACAATTAAGTTACATATATTTAGGAAATCAATCCCTCCTTATTTACAAACTTACCAAACATATCTCACATAAATTAGGAAATGAAATAATTTTGAATAAAAATATACAAAAAACATAAAATAGGAAGGAAATAAACTAATAAATGTTTCCTAAGATATCCCAATCAAATCCTCCAAGATTGGAGGTGGCGGCCGGCCGCTCAACTTAATGTACTATTAGTTTCTCTTTTGTTTTTGATGTTCGATTCTTGATTGATTTCATGATACTTCAACTATTCTAGATTGTTCTATCCTTACCTATATGCCTATACTTTGTAGCTTTCATTGCCTCACGACTTCCCCTTATTTTAGTGTTTATCATGATCGTGTCTCCATTGACAGGATATCATGAAGGAGAAATTTCTCTGGCAATTATTGGCAGGCTGTGTTGTACTTCAAAAAAATAAAACACAATCCTTTTTTCTTTATCTTTCTTTTTCGAAACGGTTGATGATGCTTCAAAATTAGACATCAGTGGTATCCTTAGCTTGGATGGACATGTGGCCTACCATAAAAAAATTAATGAGGCTAAGCAACATTATTCAATTTATAATTGCAGTTTTTATTTAGTCATGTAAGCCTATGATATTAACATCACTACTATTTGCACTCTCAAGTACTTTCACTCGGGACAAATTGAATGCATACTAGCCTAATTGGTTTTCTTTTTGTTTGGTAGTACTTTCATTCATAAGCAGTGTATGGGTATGTTTAATTTTAAGTTGCTAACGAGCCTAATCACATCCACTCACTCCTTACAATGATGTATGGTGCCAAGTTGTTCACCTTTTAAATCGGATAAACTTTGTCCTGATTTAAAAAAATTCTTAGTTTTATATTGTAATGCTAAGTTGCGCACTATGGAGATTCTTTTGCACTAACTTAAAATTTTTATTTTGTTTCCGCTCATTAATTGGGCCTATATGCAAGTGTAAATTGTAGATTTTATTTTATGCCATATTTTGGCTGAAAATATAGGCAAATGAGATTTAGTACTGCCAACTGTATAAGTTGTTTATAATATTACTCCACATAAAACCACTTACAGGTTATGTTTGAAATTTTGTGGTGAAAACCTTTGGAGTCTCACTGATCTCATTTTTTTTTTCTTATTAACTCATGATATTTCTTGTTGGATTACATCAGGGATAGGCTTTAAGCCCATATCTTTTTGCTTTAGTTATGGATGGTTGGATTTTAGTTATGGATGGTCTTACTGGACATTTACAGGAGGATATATCTTGGTGTATGCTTTTTGCTGATGATATCCTTCTCATGGATAAGATGAGAAAAAGCCCAGGATGAATTATGGTGGTCTACATTGGAGTCTACATTGGAGTCTAAAGGTAGTCTAAAGGTCTTCATTTGAGTAGAAGTAAAACTGAATACATGGAATGTAATTTTAGTAGTAGTAGCTCTAGTGACAGAAGTGTAACTTTGGTTCATCAAATTATTAAAATGTGTGAACGATTTAGATATCTCGGGTCTGTTGTTCAAAGCGATAGTGATATAGATGGGGATGTGAATAGTAGAATTCAAGTTGGTTGGTTGAAGTGGAGGAATGCTTCGGGCCTTTTGTGTGATAGAGAAGTACCGTTTAGACTGAAAGGAAATTTTTATAAGACGGTGGTGAAAACTGCAATGCTCTATGGCGCTGACTGTTGGTCTTTAAAAGAGAACCATAATACTAAGTTAAGTGTTGCTCATATGAGAAAGATAAAAGAGAAGCATAATACTAAGTTAAGTGTTGCTCATATGAGAAATATTAGGTGGATGAGTAGCATTACACTTAAGAGACAAAATGCGATATGAATATATTCGTGATACGGTTGGTGTAGCTACTGTGATGGAGAAAATTAGAGAAAGTCGTCTTAGATGGTTTGGTCACATTAAGCGTCGACCATCTGATGATCCGATTAGGGGAGTAGATGTTTTAGATTCAACTTATGTTAAGAAAGGCAGAGGTAGACCTAGGAAAACTTAGGCTTATTTTATAAAAAGTGATCTTAATTTATTAGAACTAAATGAAAATATGGCACTAAATAGGACGCAATGGAGAAAAAGGGTTCATGTACCCGACCCCACGTAGTGGGAATAAGGCTTTGTTCTTGTTGTATTAACTCATGATATTTTTTTTTTCTATCATTGAGTTTGTTGAGCATATACATAAATTTCATGTTGATGATGTCAAATGCCATGTCACTTGAAAAATAATTTGCTCCTACAAGTTCTGTTGAGTATAATATTACTGACGATATAATTAGTTGCCCTACGTGAAAAAAAGAAAACACTAGTTTTATGGCACATGGCTTTATGGCCTATATCATTTCTCCATTATTCTGTTAGTGGGGGATGCAATGTTTATGGAATAGCTGAATTTATTTATTACTTCAGAATACTCTATCATCAATACCCAACCAGCTGGTCAAATCTACACTCAGTTATAGAATGTACGTAAGATCTTAGTGCATGATGCATCCATCTGTGGTTTTTATTTTCTTATTTTGTGCGTGTGCCATTGAGTGCAAGAACTGTAAGCGGTCTACTTTTATTTTGTTTGGTAGGGAGGCAGACCGTTAACAATTCAGCTGTCTTTCTCATTCATGAAAGGAAGGACGGTTCCTCAAGGCCAGAGGCAAGTAATACATTTTCTGGGAAGAAACGAAGCAATTCTGATTCAGCTTTTATGGGCTTTATAACTGATAAAATCAAGCCAGTATGTGGAGATGCAGCTGAATGTTCACGTTCCTTGAAGGTGACTTAGTTCTCAATAGGTGCAGTTAAGTTTGTTCTTCTCTTCCACATTTTTCTTTGTTTCTTTACTCATGCTACTTATAACTTTTAGCCTCAGATGCTTCGGAAAGAGGTGATCAGTGATCGGTCCGGGAAAAATCAAGATGAACTGCAGTTCCCTATTCAATCGCCTCTAAGGTCAACATCATTACATTCTCCTCTTGGCAGTAGACCAGTTTTGCATTCATCTAAATTGGAGCGGCCTATCCCTCCGAATCATGGTTCAATTGTGCAATACCCATCCCATGTTGCTAAAACTGGGCTGTTTTCTTCTTCATATGTCTCCAAGGATGCCAATGCCAGTGCCATACTTATGTCTCAGCCTGCAGCAGATGAAGGTTCTCGGACTGGCATTAAAAGTTATGGAGTTTTGAATGTTGTCACCTCCAGCAGTGGACCTGGCGAAAGAAGCATCTCTAGGGTATTGCCTTATTGTAGCAGGCCAAAGTGTATGCAGATCCATGAGCCTGAATCTTCAAATGCATCCAGGTTGATCCTAATGTTGATATGGAACCCATTTGTTGTATTATTTTGACTCACAGCAAAGGGTTGACTTCATTTTTATTTATTTTAACAGATACAATGGTTTGCCAAATGTTGGCCGACAAATGACCGTATTTTATGCTGGTCAAGCCCATGTATTTGATGATGTCCATCCGAATAAGGTTTTTAGCTAGCTTCCCCTATTTATTTATTTATTTTTCATCTTTGATCATGTATGCGGATTCTTTATTTCATTAACGCACCTTATTCCTCTTAAGAAAATCATGTTTTAGAAAGCTTGTCAACAAAAAAAGGTAATTTTTTTCTTAAAAGTCATATTGTACTATCATTTCCGTTATCTAATCTTGAGATTGAGATGTTTATTGCCACCTAAATTTATTTCCTTGTTAATTCTGGAAATTATATTATAATGAGCTAGAGTTAATCCAGTTTAGTTAGCAAGTCGATGGAGATCAGAACCCTAATTTCAATCTTTGCATATGTTCGAACTTGATCAAGGTTGTTAGGACATGCATTGGAAGCATTCATGAATTGGCAGCATTACTTCTCATTTATTGTCAAAAAGAACTTTACACAATACCATTCCCGCTTACTTAGCTACTTAGTCCCCTTGGCTGGCAACTACATATTTCTTATACTTCTATATAAATAATCAGCTAATCTTCTGCACCGCCCAAACAGGCTGAAGTGATAATGGCATTGGCAGGCTCAACTGGGGGTTCATGGTCTACTACCTATTCACAAAAGCCTGCTACGTGTCCTTCATCTGGTGAAGTACCTACTGAACTGATTCAAAGGCATATCAACAGTTTTTCTTCCATTCAGGCGAATCCTGAGCATGCCCTCTGCCAAGTTGATAAAACCACTCTTACAAGGGATATCCCTAGTCTCACTTCAGGTAACATTTTTCTGCAACGGGAATTCAAAATTTGCTTTAATGAATTACAAGAAAAAAATATTATTAAGATAAATGTGATTAAAATGGAATATCAATTCTTACTGCTAAAAAGATGGAGTGCTAGATTAAAAATGTACAATGGCTTTGTAAAAGAATGCACCAGGAAGTATTGCAATGGATCTCAAGGACATTGAATCTCATTTTCATATAATTTTGCCTTGGGGAATATAATGTGTTTCGCTATTCTAAGTTTTATTTTCTTCTGTGACAGATTGTCATTCTGCAATTTTGAATTCATGTATTTCTTTATACGCTTTCGGTCTCCGATTCAGACTAATCATGTTTTTTGAATCGTCCTTTTGGCGATCCAGGGGGTCAAGAGAGTGGCAGGGTTGTCAAAGATGCAAGATTAGGGATTCAAACACCGTTACCCAGTCCTGCAGGGCAGAGAGAAGCAAGTTGAAGTTTTTTTTTTCCTCTACTTGGATTTTGACATTTTGGTCATTTTCATTTTTGTTGTAAATTTTAGAGCTTTGAGGCCAATGTAAGTTGTAAACATCAATTAGTTTGCAGTGCAACCCCATCCATGGTTTTGTATGTGCTGCCCCCCCTTTTTCAATGAAACGTACTCCTTTTTTATGGATACATGTTTTTCCATGCCAAATTCTTCTTTTTGGCTCAAGTACACTGCTACTTTTATTCCATGCATCATGTATAAGCACTAGAAATCTGAAATTGGTACATAGAGCCTGAAAAATGCCAGCAACCTTTTTGTTTTATTCCTAATTATGTTTTGCAACATCAACATTATAAATATTTTGAGAAATTTTACGTAAATGCCACTCAATTCTCATGTATTTGTATTTCACTTTTAAAATATTTGTATTTCACTTCTAAAAAGTTAGCGATAATAGTTGATATTCAAGTTCTGTGTGTTGTGCATGTATGTATGAAAGTTTAGGTGTTAGATATGTAAATATATAAGAATTGTGTGTTTAATGCCCCAAAGATTTTAACAGTACTGCAGTGATTCTGTAGAGCTCACCAAAATTGCTTTCTGAAAACTGTGCAGTTTGTTCAATATTAAGTAGGGCTGATTTCGTTAAAAGACTCAGATGTGATTAACTTTATTATTTTGTAATAATGCTTTGATAAAATAAAATTAGATTTGTTATACTTAGTGAAGACAAAATTAATTATTTATTTGATGAGTTTCTTACTAGGAAATCGTGCACTAAACATAGTAGGTTATGTGATGATTTACAGGTAATGTCTTAAAAACTGGCTTATTTAATTTGATCTGATTTAGTATTGTCATCATAATGGTTAATGAAATGCAGATGCAAAAAATTAAAGGGGCTTGGTTCTAAGTCATTTAAAATTAAGGTTGTAGGGTTATCATACATTTTACTAATTATTTTTAATTGTTCATATGTCGGAGTAAGTGCTTGTTGAAAAAAGACTGGAATATAAAGAGCATATATGTATATATATATTAAAAAAAGCTCAAGGGTTGATATATTAAAGAGAAATGTACAGATAGGTTTGTATTGGTGGGCCTAAACACCCAACCCACACGGTAAAACACAACAAAAAATGTAAAAGATGAGTACATATAGAAATAAAAAAAAAACCACAAAAAATCACATGGGAGCTGAAAAAGTATGAGTCATCCCAATTTAGTCTTGCCTCTAGCTCTAGTTATCGATAGGGATCCAGTTAGCAGATTAGTAAGGTGTTGACCATTACCCGTAGTAACCAAAGTATCATCCATAAGACTTATGAGCTCTAGTAGATCTCCATTCTACTTCTTCCTCTTGGAAGTGTAAACCTGTCATTCCTCATCTGAAGAATCAGCTTGATGGAGTAGAGCTGATAGAGCTGAAGCAGAAGGAATACCAACCGTATTACCCATAATTGATTCTAGTATATGTGAAGTATGAGTTGCCTCTACACAAGATACTTCTTGAAGAAGTGGAGCTGTGAGGCTCACTATCATTTATAGGTAATAGTCCAACAGTATTATTTTCTATGGAGCATATACCTCCTGTCTGGTAGTATCTTTCTCATGTGGAACTAAAATGTCCACAGCAGTGGGGTTAGACCCATCCTTATTTACTTGAACCTTAGATTTCAAATTATGTAGATTTCAAATTATGAAATTATGATGAAGCTTGTGGCATTTAACAAGGATATGACCAAACATCTTACAGTGGGTACAATATGGGGGTATTGTTTCATGACGATTTGTTGCCAAAAACCATTATGGGTTGTGCCTAGCCAGACTTCAGTAACATCAAGTAAAGTAATATCTCTTTCCACAAAAATTCTAGCCACCATTCTAGCCACCGAGGGTCTGCTAGCCACCGAGGGTCTGGTTAGGTTGAAAGTGGGCAAATCTAGTTTCAAAGGATCCTTAAGGATGACCCCAATAGAGTAGAGAACCTGATGGTGAAAAAAATGTAGCTTGAGACTAGGTAAACTAAACCATACTGGTACAATGGGAGTATCATGATTTGGGTAGAAATTAGGAGACCACTTGAGTAAATTCTTTGATTTGCCTTCGATATTAAGATTTTTCTTGGAGAAACTGGTGTAGTCTTTAGCCACTGTTAGTTGGATCAACACATGTCTCCCATTCATGAGTCCCATTTTTCACTTGCCTACTAGCTTAACATCATCAACACTCTTTTTGATAACATCCATAGGAGGGTATCCCCACTGAAATTTTCAAATAAGAGTAAACTTGAATTTTTCCGCCAGAGTAGAAATTTCTAATTTAGAGAAAAAGATTCTTTTTTTCCACCTTTCCTACTTTCTTTCTTAATAAAAGGAAAATCATCTGTACCCTCATGAGATTTCTTATAACTTGAGGGGAATGCCACCACAGACTCCACCTGAAGGCTACCCACCACATGGGCAAAGAAGACTTTGTCCGGCTCAGCCAAAAAAGAAGTAAACGCCATCAGAGGTTGTCAACATTAAAACTGTTGCGAGATTGCTAGAAGGCAGAGGAACTGTCGGGCACAGAAGTAGGAGTAGCGCCGAATCAGAAGAAAACCAAACAGTTGAGCGCAGACAACTAAGCTGCGAGCAACAAAGGCGTGGAGCGATATCAAGCAGGAGCAGTGTAGTGATATTAAGAAAGACGACACCGCGAGCAGTGGAACGATATCGCGACGCAAGCCGCAACAGGGAGCTGCGAACATCGACGCCGACGTAGACGCATACACCAGACGACTGAGCGAGAGTCGACGATGCAAGATCCTTTCTTTCCAACGGCAGAATCAATTGCGACCGAAATAGCCATTGGAAGCCCTAGCGGAGCTCTCGACCGTGTGTGTGTGTGTGTGTGTGTATATATATATATATATGTATATATATATATATATACACACACACACTACATATTACAATAACAATTAATACTGAATAATATAGTTATAATTTTTTTAGAGCACCTACATTGGTCTTTATTAGTACTCAGTAAATTTAAATTTCAATTGAATATTTTTTTTATTTTTTGTATGGATTTATTTATACCTAGAAAAATTGGTAATGGCCCACAAAATTTACATGGTGCATTTACATACATACCATACAAGTTTAATATATTCGAATATTTAACTCTAGAATTTTCATATTCATATATATATATATATATATA